ATTTGTGTTCTCCAGAAAACCTCTGGTAACCAAAGAAATATAGCAGAAGAAGTCTTAAAAAGACTAAAAATCCAAGCTGCCAAAAGAAACACACAAAATATTTATTCTATAACCTTTCCATCTGTCAGTGTCCTACTAGGCTAACATTTTAAGAGGTTTTTTTTTTCCTGTTTAGTAGAATTTTGCTTATATTCAAGAACCAACATCTCCCTCCACTCATTTCAAAACTGTGACTAGGGAAACCATTATCCTCAAGATATTGTATTTTTCCATATATAAGTTCTCAGAAACAATTTAATAAAGATTTATTCATCTAAGTATTCAGTTATGCATTCTCATTTGGCTCCCTGCTGTTCTGTACCATAGTTTTTAAACTGATTATGTTTTAAGCATACTATTTTAGAACTTTTATTGACTTATTTTCTTTGTTTTCAATTATTGCCAGTTGTTTTTAATTGATCCTCAATTTGGAATCTGTTTTTAAAACAAAGCAGCAATTTTTTTTTTAAAACAAACCAATACATAAAAATTATTGACCCCAAACCTAGTACCCATAATTTAATGACTTATTATTTCAGTCTGACCACTCTGTGGGAATTGTTGTTTTGTAAAATAATACCTCTTCTATTTTTCAGTTTTGATGATCCCAATATTTTAGACCCAAATAATGCAATGAAGAGCTTTGAACTGTGGATTTTGCCTTCCTCACTTCTAAGATAACCCACCTCATCTTCTAATGTCACCCACCATCTCTCTAACAAATTAATGTTGTTTAAAGTTGCCGTATAAAGCAGGTATGAAAAATAATTAATTCTATGTGTTCTACAAAAATGGGAAAATAAAATAATGCTATTATCTAGTGTATTTGAAGAGAGGGAAATGTAAAGCAAGTTATCAGAGGCGTTGCACGAGCACATGCTGCTGTATCATCACAGTAGCATGCAGATGATCAATGGGGAACCAAAAGGGAATTGGATGATAAAACTGGCCAAGTAATATTGTCACTAAGCAAGACATTGCTCCAACTTTGGAACTAGGTCAAAGTCAGCAGCACTATTGGTTTGTTAGTTCATATAACCTAATCCTCACTGGACTGAAGATCACTAAACACTTCAGCTATCTGCAGAGGTGGTGCTGCAGTGCAGCAGAGATCAAGCTGTCTGCAACTCCTGCCAGTAAACTGTGCAGGGTGAAAAATGACAGTATCTGACTACTAGTTACCAAGAGTAAAATCAGTGCTTAAACTGTGACAAAGAAAGAGCATGTGTTTGGAGTGTTCTCTAAAAACAATACAAAGAAACTAGTACACTAAGGGATGTGATGAAACAAGAGGTATGCCACAAAGCATTCCGAACTTTTCAATATCTATCATTCATCTGGTACTCAAAACAGAGATTAAAAATATATCTTTTCCTTGGGGGATTACGGTATTTTTGGTTCATTAGCATACTAAACAAACAAGAGGGAGACAGGAATCAGTAATGTCTATGACAGTTGAGTGCCTACACTGCCATCATTAAATAAAATAAAGTGGAAAAAGAAGACTGTGAAAGACTCAGAACTGTCAACATAATTGGGCTTTTCAGAACTGGTACAGCTCTTAACTTCATTACTTGACTTACAAATGGGTCTAAGTGCTTATAAGATTGAATACTTTTTTTAAAAAAAAACTCCAAGACCATCAAAAATAAGCTGAGCAAAACTATCTGGGCAAAAATAGATGTTAGTGCATGACAGACAAAACAAAGCATCCATTAATGATAGAGCAAATTTGCCTGGCTCTTTGTGATGAAAAAAAACACTATTTTATTCACTCTCAGTTTACTAAAGTCTGTTCAACTCCTGGTGATTTCATGGACATAACTATGTACTTTTATTTAACAAGCAGAAGTTGACCATTATCTTCTGAGAGTTTTGTTTCTCTGTCCTGTCTAGCCTTTAGGATTTCCTAGTGGACTAGCATCCAAGTTCTAAGCTTGTCCATCCCTGCTCAGCTTTTTGAGATCAGCCAAGGATGGCTAGGTGCTGCCACCTAGCTGGGCTTCAGGCTCTTTATTAACATAACTATCTGCAGGCAAGTAATTTTTCTGGATTCATAACTGTTCATTTATTTGCAAGATTGGTTATTTTTTCCCTTTTATTTTATATCCTTGTTAAACATCGTGGCTTCTTTGCATTTTATGATATGAAGTTACCTTTTGCGAATTATCTAAAGAACAGTGCAATGCTAATCATTATGGGTGTTCTTTTCAGTTATAACATATATTCAATCTCATGTTCAGTGAGGCTGTGCAATGCTTCATATTCACTTCCAAAGAAGTGTCTCTGAGCATGCATGCATTAGCATAAATATAGCACCTGACTGCAACTTTTTAAAGCAGGTATGTCTCTTCTCAGGAAAAGAAACAATGTTCTTTCCTGGGAAAAGATGTGGCATGATCTCAGGCAAAAGACACAGACGTTTTAACCATTATCAGTCAAGTGTTAAGGTTTTGGAACTAAATCCAAAGTGTTGCACAGCCCTCATGCGTTAAACAGTGTTGTTTTATTAGACTTAGATTTCCACAGAAAGTTCAATCTAAAGCTTTCTGAAGTGGAATTTGCTATCTCTGGAATATTCTCAGAAAGTAAAAGTACATTAAGAAATTAACATCTCATTATTGTTTGGACTTGTTTTTGCCCTTCAAATATTTGAAGAGAAATATTATTGCAAGATTTTCCACTTAACCATGGTTTACATCATCATCATCATCATTATTGCCACTCAACAAGAGTTTTAGTTTTCTAAGTAATATACAATCAGAAAAACATAAAATAACACTGAATAAAAATAATGTAAAAAAACCCCACAAACAGCAATAGTTACAGAATGAAATCACAATTAATAGCAACAATTCTTATGTTTTAATATACCATAATGGTTTTCAAAGTATTGGGGGAGAGGAGGGAGCCCTTCATCTGGCACCAAAAAGATTATCATGTAGGAACCAAGCAAGCTTCTCAAGGAAATGGTTCCATTTACCTGGTGCCACCAACTTGCTGTATTGGGCAGAGGTACCTGAAGTAGTACAGCTGATCTTAGGGTCTTTTATGCAAATATTGGGGAAGATGCTTATTTGGGTGAGCTGGTCCTGAAATGTATAGTGTTATACACTAGTACTAGTATTTTGAATTGTGCTAGTATAACAAGGTTATAGGGGCCAGTCTCTGTTAACAACCTAGTGGCCATTTTCAACTTATTAGTACCATTTTCAAAGTCAGCCTCGCATACATGGCATTGTACTAATTCAGATGGGAGGTTACTAGAGTGTTGATGCCTGAGCAGTCATAACTCTTCATGTATAAAGGAAATAGCAAAGGATTCAGAGTGGTCTGTTCTTCATTGCTTTGCTAAAGTAATTTATACCCACACCAGAGGAAGACTAGATAGAGATACTGGATGCATAAGCAGCTTCTTGTTCCTATTATTATCCAGTGCGTTGAACAGAATGTGTCACACACCTATATTGGTCAAGTGCGATAAATGTGATTAAAGGTTTGGTTCGATACACAATTTTGTCTGTGTTCTAACAGCTTGAATAAAACTAAGAGCTTATTTGCTAAAGTGAGATTCTTAAAAATTTTTAGCTGAAGAATTATTGTAGTCAAGATAAAATGATTTAAGAAGGCTTAACGAATGGTAAGAAAAAGATATGTGATTAAAGTTCACAGCTACAGTATACCATTAAACAATGTTGTCCCCATCAGCCCTTCAATTTTCATGCAAGTCTTATTCAGCTTTCAGAAATAAATGTCCTCATTTGGAAATTTTCTTTTACATGGCATCAATTTCACCCTTGAATGTCTAATTCTCTTGCTGCTTCTGTAAGATATGTGACCTTACATAACAATATATTGTAGCTAATGATAATCCATATGGAAGAATAAAGAGGTCACATCATTTAAATACTGAGAAGTTTATTATACAGGAACAATATTAGTTACTTCTAAGAAAAAAACATTATTTTACATGACTATTTTAGAATATTTAAAATGTGGCAAGCGTAGAAATTTTATTTCATAAAATATTTTTATGGACTATTCAAAATCAATGAATTCGGAAACATAAAAATTCAGGATGGAACAAGCTGCAAAGTTGATAGTTTAAGCCATCTGCTTCGTGCAGAACCATTTCATTATGCACTCCTGTCCCAGGTGGGGAAACTAAAGGTTCTCCAATTATGTAAATGAGAGAAGTGGGACCCCAGAGACTACGTTTTTCAATGACAGCCCCCATCCTATGAAATAACCTCCACCCGGAGATTCAATTAGTACTAATGTTCCCTCTAATTTCTGACATGCCGTGTACAGGAAAAATTTGTTTCGGGCAGCTTTTCCCAAACCAAGTACAAATTTGTGCCCCACAATAATACAAAGCAAATTGTAAATATACGTAATAGTGACATGTTAAAATGTTTATGTATTTCTTAAAGTATAGAAACAAGAAAGCAGGGCACATACAGACTTAAAAGTTGTGCCTTCAAATCATTTTTAACTCCCGGCAGTTGCTCCCTGCAGTTTTCTTGGCAACATTTTCAGAAGCAGTTTATTACTGCCTAGGGTTGAGAGAGCAGGATGGGCCCAAGGTCACCCAGCCAGTGTTGTGCCCAAGGCAAGACTAAAACTCATAATCTCTTGGTTTCTAACCTGATGTTTTAATCACTACACCAAACTGGCTCCATATGTACATGTGTACAGTCATTGACAACTGTAACTGCAATCAAAATTTTGTAAGCATTGAAAATTGTTTCTTTTCTTTCTCTTGTTCATTTTTAAAAATTTGATATTTTAATGAAAGATTTAAAAAAGAAAGAAGGAAAAGCATTATACAGAAAGCATTTAGATGGCCGTCTCTCTTTCATTTTTTCCCCATCCTTTCCTTCTTCTCTGGATGTATTCTGAGCTGATTTTAACTTTAATTATTATTCCTTTAAAATTTAAATTTTTTATAAACTTCACAACTATCATGGACCTTGTACAGCCAAAAACTGAACAGATATTAATTAAACCATTTTTGGAGGGAAGGGGAAGGTGGGCCAAGAGGCCTCTCAGGAGCTACTGTTCAATACAGAGTGGGGCACTGGTGTGGCTTCTTCCTGCGCAGGTGCAATTATGCCCCATGGGTCTCTAATGGGCCTGATCTGTAGTAGGTTGGCTGCAACTCCAAGGCTGGGAAAGGGCCGCCTGCCTTATGTCCCAGATAAAAGGCTCCCCCATCAGGAGCTCCCAGTTAGTCCATGTTGTGGTGGTGCCAAGGCTTTGCTAGGTGGCAAACTTATACAGGACTCCTTGCCAGCCCAGAGTTTTACACTGCTGCTGCCGCCACCTCCTCCTCCGTCCTAGTATTAATATTAATATTATTATTCTGGGAGAACTTAATTTTGCACGTGCTTAATTTTTTATTGTGTGTACACGCTTGATGAGTAGGTTGGGTACCTACCCTAGCATAATTTTGAAAGTCTGAAAACACAGCTTTTGCACAAGATCTTTGAGATTTAATTGTTGCTAGTACTAAGGTCTTAGCTGGTGGCAATGATCATTTATAATGTTCTGGTTATATTATTTACATTATAAACTGTCAGAATTTGGATTCTAAGTCTAGCAGTATATAAAAATAATAAATATAGTGTACTGCTTCAGTTGAACATGTTGGTATAGTATAAAAGCTGGATGGTATATGGTACAGCTATTAGAGTTTGAGTTCAGAAGCAACAGCAGTCTATAAATTAATATATCAAGTTAATCCATCTTTGGGTCTTCAGAGAGTAATAAATTATATCTGCTAAAGTGTAGATTTATTTTAGTTACATTATCCTAATGTAAAGCAACATCTTTGCGAGTACAATTTTTCATTTTTTTTTAAAAGGGAGATAATATTTATTACTTTTCTGGAATATTTCCTTTAAAACAGTAAACATAAACATATCCATCCTCATCGTACACTAAAAAAAAGTCTAAACAATATTCCAAAGCCAAAAAGTAAAAAAATCAGCAAAAACAAACAGTAGCTTCAGATAGGTACTATCTGAAGCTGTGATCTCCAGATGCAGTTCCCCAATTGAGAAATCTTTCCCCAGTCTTCCAGAAAGAGCAAGTCTGCATAGAAGAGTAAAGGGATACTCGCATATAAGGTCTATATAATCACTGAAGATTACATATCTATATAAGAAACCAGTGTGTCAATATTAAAAGCATAGCATACCTTCAACAATTTGATTTCACATGAGAATAGACATGGTTTCTGTGCCATATCGTAACAGAGTTTATACAAAATGCATTCTGCCATAAAAAATAAAACACTGGTGTGTTCTGGAGCAACAGGGGCATGATCCAATGAAATTCCAAGAATCTCAAGAGCTTCTAAAGTAAGAAAAGGAAAGGAAAAATGAATTCAGATTAGTCTTAATATCTTACAAAGTCTATAAAATCTTAATATTTCACACAGTACTCATCACACCTGCAACACAATGCTTGCCAAATTATGAACAAAATAACAAGTGTTAAATCAATTTCCTCCAGATTGTTTGCCTGTTCTGATTATCACTTTGATGAAAATGTAATTAAGACTCATCCCTCTCATAATTTTGTTCAACGGTTGCTGAAATATTTATGCTAGACTATGAATTAAATACTATTGCATAATAAAGCCATCTTAATTAATAAAGTTGAAGAGGCCACTAAGAATGTGCAATGTTACACTGATTATTGACAAAATCTATAGCACTTTGTTCTGCTACTTTTTGCTTATTGCACTGACTTTTTAAAATATGCCTTATTATAGCTAAAGCAGGTTGTTCAAAAGTTTCCTGATTCCTGGTACATTTCATACTTTAAAAACCTGTCAAGTTCTGCATATCTTCAGACTCTATGGACAAGATACATATGAAACTGAATCTGGACAACTATGACACACAGGTAGTCCTAGCTTAACAACCCTAATTGGGACCAGCAGCTCCGCCACTAAGTGAAGCATTTGCTAAATGGGAAATGTGACCACGACTGTGCTTTCTGGCTGGAAAGAGACAAGACTAGTCAATTTCACACCTTCGGTTTTTGTTTGCCTCCTAATCACTCCCCCACCCTTTGGAATGCTCAAGGGGTGAGCTTACTGTCTTGTACACATCAAAAGCAATGTAATCATGCCGCAACCTGGGGCTGGGAGCTGTGAGCGCGCTATGCAGCTTACAGTACTCTCTTGAAATCTCTTTCTTTTCAATCTCTCTGCTCTGCGGGGGGGGGGGGGGGGG